TTTGGGTATGATTAATGCGTTACAATAAAAGTTGATTTGTTTGTTTTTTTTCATTGTTGTTGCGGCTGGCTGTTAACAATATGCCAGGCAACACAACTGACATGGCCACAAGCCACCAGGCCTCAAATCAGCCAGGTGTACGCTCGAGATGTACGCTCACAGATACATTTTGTGGCTTACTGTGCTGCATGCAAATTGGCTTTGAGTGCCCCTTGCCGGTGGTCTCGATGAGTGGTGTTTGGTAAAACAGGCTGGAAATGAAAGCGAAACGAAATTGAGCCATTTTGTGTGAATGAGCTGGGAAAATGCGGCAATAAATAACCAGGAAACCAAAAGTGGATCTTCGGCAGCCAATCGGTCCCGGGCCTCATACGAGTAAGATACTTATGGGCTTTAGTTGGGTTTTGTTGGGAATCAAATGCCAGCCGAAATGCTATTAATACATCTGCCGACATACGAGTACATACATATAAATAAATGTCTGACTGTGTGAATGAACTCTAAGCCGATCAATGGAGGGGACAAAACAGCAAAAGAAAGATCGAGTACCACCAAACCAAAGATATTTTCTCGAATGAAGCCAGGAAGGGGTTCACTTTAAGGATATTTATGCCATGGCACAATTTGGCCATCAACGAAATATTAATAAGGACAAAAAGGTCCTCTGCTGATGCGTAGAAGATACTCAATATAAAAAAAGATTCCCTAGATGTTAGATTGAACTTATTTCCCGATGACTCATCGAAATTATTGCTCAAGTTGTCGCCATATCAACAGGTTGGTCCTGCTCCAGCCCCAGCCCCAGACCCCGTTCGATGACGAAATCGAGCTTCTTTTGCGGCATCTGCGTCATCAGATGGGACCGAAACAGGAGAAGAGCCCCAATAATAATCTGCAATGGTCATAAATGGCGAAACCCTATGAATAGATAAAATAGTCTACTGGCTGTGGGTGGATGCCGGTCACGGTCCTGGGCTCTTGTCTCTCGTCGCCCTTCGTTGTCTGCCTCTTGTCGCGGCAGACATTTATGCAAATGGGCGACGAGTCAGAGCGTCTTCGGCTCTATGAATAGCACAAAAACACAGAAAACTCTAAGGACAATACATTCAATTATCAAGGACTGCGCCAAGACAAGAAGCAGAAGCAGCAGCAGCAGCTCGTCTCCACTTCTAGTTTTTCTTCTGCCTGTCACCGACAGCAGACGTTTACATAAATGACTTTTGTGCCGGGCGACCGTGGCTGAAACTAGAACTGCGATTGTGATTGCGATTGCGTTTCCGATTCCGAGTGCTGCTGAGATTGTGGGTGGATGCTGTGGCTGTTAACACCAATTACATAACATGACAAGATGAAGCTGGAACAAGTACTCGTGGCAGCAGACCCGGACAATGCCGCGATAAATGGCGCAAAGGCGGAGAAAACTGTGCAAAGAAAGTGTGGCATAAGCCTCCATCCCTAGAAATGTTGTCCTGGCGTGCCTGTGGGGCTTCCCCGCTTTTCAGTTTGCCCACACAAAGTCACACAGTTGCCGACTCAATTTATGAAAAATTCTCACACTTCCTGCCACACCCATTCCGGGCTGCCTGACTGCTCCCTTGGCGTCAATGGTCTGTGCGTAAATTACAGGCCGAAGAGGAAAAACTTCAGCCTGATAAGGGAATCAGGACTGGAGAAAATTGGGCCCAGACCAACTGGCGGCAGTCAGCACGCAGGCCATAAGACCCTTAATCTTGGCCTGCAGTACAAGTACAAGTATTTATGGCAAATTCGATATTCGAAGGATTTCAATCGAAATATCAGGCTTAACACTTGACGCCGCTTAAATTGCCTCAGCGCATTCTTAAAGCCAACTCAGACTCGGCTCCAGCTCTACTATTACGTGTATTTGTTTCTGGTTATCTGGTGGCCCGCGGCGGGCCCCAACTGTGCTCGTAAATGTTTTGGTCATTAGCCACGGCGTGAAAACCAATAAACGCGTCGGGCCCATAGAAATAAAGAGGAAAAAAAACCAAGAATAAATCGGGGGAAAAACGAGGCAGCAAAAACACAGCGGAGGCCCCAAAACAAAATTGCAATGAAATCAAAAACTACAAAACAAAAACAAATGCCTTTATGATATGGCCATAAAAGCCGACCAGGCTGCCTCAACAATGGGCCAATTTGTGGCGCTCAATAAAAATAATAAAAATATTGCAACTTTTATTAAAGCCAGCCATTTTGGCCACATTGTGTGTAAGCTCTTTAGTCACTTGTTTGTCTTCCTTTGTCTGCTCTCCGACAGTCCGACACTCCGACCCACGGTCTCTATGGTCTGCATTTTTTTTGTCTATATTGCGGCACGTTTATGAGTTATTATCAGAGCCGTGAGTGTTGGTCAATGTATTTGCGGTTAGATGGCCAACAGCCACGCCCACACTCCCCGCCGCTACACTCTGCTGCTGCCACAGAGGAAACTTTAATAAAAGGTTCTTTGATTTATTAGGAATTTAATGCGGCCTTTGTCTTGTCTGTCTGTCTGGGTGTCCACGGGGGGTGTCCTGTTCTGTGGTCAGAATTATTATTGATGATTCCGCTTGTTGCTGCGACAGGTGCAAAGGCATTCGAATACCTTGATGAACCGCATTTCAGTGAGCATTCCCTTGGGCTGCCATAAATCATGGTCACAGCCAAAACGACGCGTCGTGTTCCTTCCGTTCACATTTCTTTAAAACCTTTATCCAATTACATCAGGCATTTAATGAACAACCACCATCCAATCACTTTCTTTAATTGAATCGACCGCAAAGGGGCTTCCAATTTCCATCGTTCGTTGGTAATCCACGTATTAAATATCATAGTGATAGTGTGGTGCTCATTTAATTCAGTTGCCAGTTCTCTGGCATGCTTTTCACACTTCAGAGCCTGCATTCGTACAACTTCGCACATCACACATACGCCCCATTGCCCATTACGCATTCGCCCAGTGGTAATCATTTCTGTAAACTGTTTTCGATCTCCGCCTCGTGCGGTCATCATCCCCACATCGCCATCGCCATCGCCATCGCCATCTCCATCGCCGTCATTCAGGACACGTACGGGGAGGGAAACCTTTTTGTGTGTAGCACACACAAGTCGTCGTCCGTCGTCCCGGGCTTTTTCACATGCTAGTACAAATGTCCGTCAGGGGCAACGCTGCGACGCTGGCTTGGCGACGACTTGACTTGGCCTGTCTGTCAGGCAGCTAACAAATGGAGGAGCCCCAAAGCCGCAGCAGAGAAACTATTTATATGCGGCCCCAGGCGTGGGGCCATCTAGGGTGCCATCGATGTGTGGAAATCTATGCCACGGATGCCTGAATGGATGGAGCTCAGCTCTGACGGTTGTCCATCGCGTCGCATCTCCGGCGTGGCCGCACCAGCCATTTATGGTCAACATATTTGAGCGCATTGTTTGCATCTGTGGTGCGTCTTCGCGTTGATTAATCGATGTATTGCCGGACACGACGCTGGAATATCTGCAGTGCCAGCACTAGGAATCTCAGCGTACGTTGTGGGCATAATTCCACGTGCCTGGCGCGCTCCAAAGTTGTCTCTCCTAATTGGCAGAAAAGTTTCTTAGGCGCACACACATGCGAAATAATCGCTGTAGCAGCCAGGAGACGCACGGCTGGCCAAACAAAGCCCCGACTTCCTGCCAGACGTTGACTCCATTCCGGGACGCATCGCGCCACTGCCGCTGGTCCTCTCTTCCTTTCTGGCTCCTGTGAATAATGTTGTTGATTGTGTTGCTAAATGCTAACGATGGCAAGGATGGGGGAATTGGGGCCGGCTGGGCCGGCTGGGCCGGCTGGGCAGGCTGGGCAGGGCTCGGAATGCGTCACAAGACGATGATGATAATGGCCTCGTTGCCATTACTTTGTTAAGTTGCCGCTGCTGCTGTCCTGTGGCTCCCCTCTGATGTTGCCTGTGGGCTTAATTGATTTAGTTGAAGCTGCACAGAGTTTAATAGTTTCTCATCATTTATAAGGTATCCAGGGAGTCTCAAGGAGCTGTCGCTGCCGATGTCTCTGCCTCTCTGTCGCCCTGTCAGTTCATTTACTGCGGCATTTAATTTTCGCCAGCACTGTGTTACACATTTCCACACCCTGCCAGGGCAAACCGGTTGGACAGCATCGCATCTATGTCTGTCTGTGGCTTTGGCAGCATGCAATCCAGTCCAGCTATTGAGTCAACGCCGTGGTCTGCGTCTGGGCAGCGGCAGCGGCACGGCCAACGGTTAGCCTCCCTTTGGGGCTCGGATTGCCAACTGACGCCTCATCGCCATGAATGGCAGTTTATCTAATCCACGGCAAAACACCGCCACCACGGGCTGATGTATTTTAAAACCCATTTCAATTATTTATTAGCAGATTAAACGCTAAGAAATTTCAAGAATCTGTTCTCCCGATGCTGTAGTCGGGTCTATTCGAACACCATAATACGCTGCATATGGTAGAGAAAAATTGCAAAAGAAAAGATATAAATGTTTAGGTAAGAATTTAATTAGAGATCCAATTCCTTAACAGACATTTGTTCAATTGTAAAGTAAGAATCAATCAATGAAATACGAGTACCTGGGGAGTCGCTTTTGGAAATAAATATTCAGTAGCTGGAGCTAACGGGAGTTCCAGTCTTTTAATGCTAATCCATAATTTACTCCCACCAAAAACCTTTGAAAGACAACCCCCTGGACTGCACGGACTGACTCAATCCGTCAATGACTGTCAATCAAACAGCAGGTGAGTTCTAACTGCGTCTTTTGATCGTCTTTCGAGCAGCTCCAACTGGCTGCTGGTGCACATTACACACATTAACAAGATCATTCTCTCTCGTAATTGTTGTTGCTGCAATTAGCGTTGGTAGCACTTGATTTATGCACCTGCCAGCCATGCAAAGTGGAGCTGCTTCCATGTATAGACAATGTATCAGCACTTCGAGCTGGAAGCCATATAAAAGCTGCCCTACGGACTGGCCAATGGAGTCATTCCCGCCACAGAATCCGTCGAGCACGGACGCGAAGGGATTATCAACATTCTTTTGGACTCTTGACAAGATGCGAACGACAGCGGTAAGCCTTGGTGGAGGAGGGAGTGGAGTGATTCTTCATTAAATCTGTTTCTGTTCCCCCAATAGATGCTGTTGCTGGTGCTCGGCCTTGTGGCCATCCATTACGTCGATGAAGGAGTGGCTCATGTACTGCCCTTGGCCGGAACCTATCTGATATCTCCGGCAGGTCCAATTCTGTATCTAGTCCAACCCCCACCACCACCAGAGGATGATGGCTTATACAAACCTCCCGGCCCCGGAAAAGATGGATTGTGGCAGCCGCAGCCCGGACAAGAGGGAGAGCCAGAACCAGACCCCGCGCCAGAGCCAGAACTCAGCCAGAGTCAAAGTGGCGGCGCCAGCTCGGATGCCGGTGAGGATGGAGGCTCTCTGAGCTCGGACAGCTCTGGTTCTGCAGCCGCTGGTGATGGCTCGGGAGCTGCAGGTGCTGCTGGAGGAGGAGCCGGAGGAGCCGGCGGCGCCGGACAGCCTGGTGGTCTTCTAGGTGGTGCGGGTGGAGCAGGCGGATCAGGAGGCGGCGGCAGCGCAGGGGGCGGAGGAGCAGGTGCAGGCGGCGGTGGAGGAGGAACACTCACATCCGGTCAGAGCGGAGAAAATGGACAGCCGGGAGCGCCCAGTCCGTCTGGACCACAGCCCGACGGCGAGGACGGTGCCGATGGAGCCGACGGTCCAGATGGACCAGATGGTTCCAAGGGAGGAAAGGGTGGTGGCGGTGGAAAGGGAGCGCGCAATGGTGCCGGCGGTGGGGCTGGGGCGGGAGGCGCCGCACCCCAACCCCCACCACTTCCCTTAGCTCCCGCTGTTCTCGTCCCAGCCCCCGTCTGGCCCGATCCGGAGTTGAATTTGATGTAAGTGTGCGACCTGTTGAAAGCCAGATCAAGTTTGATGCAACACTTTGTCTATCCCTTTTTTAGCCACGTTATCTAGATGCCCTCTGAACTTTCTGCCATTTCCCATATATGTACCTTCTTGATAACCGATTAAGCAACCATTAGTCTTAGGTCTAGTCAATGTTTCTGTAACTCACAATTACCTTAAGCTGAAGCAAACGAATATTAAAATTCCATTACACAGTGTACAAAAGGACTCTAGCTTTTCATTGCGTTTTGGGCAGGGTCAAAATTGTATGTTTCTAAATATAAAAGCACCAAGTAGAAGGTCAAATGTTGTGACATTATTCATGTCCATCTGCCAATAGACGGCCTTCGGCTCGGGTAGTCGTTGCTCCTTCCTAGAAACTTTTCTTGTACGAGGCTTATAAATATAGCTATACAATTTGCAAGATTATTCTTTTAAAGAATATCTATAGCTCTTCAACAGATTTAATAAACCATTAGCTAAATCTCGTAGATTCAGGTCTGAAAAGCTATGTTCGGTCATTACTCCAACTGCTTCACCCGAGACCGTTTTCCGAGACTTTTTCGAGTGCATTTCAATCGATTTTCTGATGAATTTGTTCCACTATTAATGCCAATTAATAAATCACAATCATTTAATTATGACAACGATGTAGAAGCGGATATTTCGCTACAGATTTAACTACCAGAGAGGCTCCAAGCGGCCATTTTACATGATTTCTACATGCAGTCGAAGCACTAAAAGTAGTGCACACCTTTAAGCTGAACTATAAATAAGCTATATACGTCTTTAAGGCTTTAAAATGTAACGATTCTTTGGAGCTATCTGTTTTTAAACCGTCCAACAATTTGCCTTTTCCGACATAAATTAAATATATTTTGCCTGTCAAAAACAAACTGTTTTCTAATGAAAAATATTGAGTTAGCCCACACACTAGGGTATGCAACGGAAAATGTGTGTTTGTGAAAGAGGAGAGGAGAAGATGAGGGTTATGCCAACATCGACATCAAGGCCAATTAAATTGTGTGTTCTATAAAAGCTTTCACAGCAAAGTAGGCAATGGAATTAACACATGCTGTGGCATACTATGGGGATTTTAAAATGCTAATTATGCCCGTCCATCAGATGATATTAATTTTGTACGGGGAAAGCATACGCTAAAATATAACATTTTAGCAAAATAAATACAAGCTATATATGCATCAACATTGTGGCACCAAAAAAAGCAAAATAAACATCAACATCAATGTGTGGGTTGTCTGATGTTATGCCCACGAGGTATTCGCGGAAAGGCGAAAGGTCAAGTGAGGATAGCTTCCATTCATATTTCCCAACGCCTTGCCACAGATGCGTCATAACTCCAACCCATCTCAGTACGTGAGTGAGTGCTTTTTGTTATTTCGATTTTCCGCTTTCGCTTTGGCTTACTTTGTGGCACAAATTGCGCGCAAAGCGCTGAGAATTGAATTGTCAGCGTTGCATTATCTGCTTTGCAACAATGCTGCTCCAGAACACATCAAAAGGAGCAGGATGGATACATTTGTTAAGTGCTTGAAGCCCTATCGCAGCCGGGACAAAGTATCCGAGAGTATGTGAGAAAAGGTAAGCTCAAAGATACAAAGATCAAATGCTACAAAGTTCCAGCTTTAATCTGGCAGAAACAATTCATTTTCCCTATCAATCTACCACCCAATCTATTTCAACACTCTGGCGATTGCAACACGTATTCAAATCCGATCAATTAGGTCATAAATTAACGCCTCAGTACATTAAATTGATGCAAAACATAAAAGCCATTTGACCAAAAATATGCAAAATGCACCTCAAAAAGAACGCCCACCACATACAAAAAAAAAAACAAAAAAAAAGAGGTCTAAAGAAAAATAAAGACAACGGCAACAGAATGGCAGCAGGGCAGGAAATCGTTTACCAATTTTGTTATTTTAAAGATTGTTGACTAGCAAAACGCTGCCAGATTGGGCCTGGGATTGGGGCCCTGAGTGGAGGGCCAAATGGCACAATGTTACCCACGGTTCTGGCCACCAGCCATGGCCATAATGGATTCGGTTTGGCCAATTGCTTGGCATGCAAATGAAATTCTTCAATTCGAATCAAATCACTGAATGGGCCACAGAGCGAGAACTGGGGAGCGGGCTGTGCAAATCAACGGAAAAAATTGCAATAATATTATTTGGCAAAAAGAGCTACAACAGCTACAACATCTACAACGGCGTTGCACATTCACTTTTGACTGGAGCCGGGCCACGCCCAGACACTTGTAGCAAGCAGGGCGGGCGATTGGTCGGATCGGTTGAGCTACCGTTTGGTGGCAAACATTCTGTGAGCCCCACAATCGCAATTTAAACAATTTCAACTACCGATTTCTGTGTTTAACCACCGCCTGGCATGTAATTAAATTAAGAGCCGGGTCACTAACCGCCGCCTTTGGCATCCCCACCTGCTGCCCTGAAGGTCGTCAAAGAGTCCGCACTCATATCGTATTTTAGAGCTTTTTTTAAAAACTGATTCCACTTGGAGTTTCATTTAGCTTAGCCGACAATTGGCCGTAAATTCAAATGTCAATGCATGCTTAATTAAATGGCAGGCACTGGCAACCAATCCCATCCCATCCTAACCAGACCATCCGCCTCGGCCTAGCCTTCGAGTGCGAGTACTACTCGTACATCAGCGCCTTCACCTTCTCCTCCCTGTCCGGCCTCGTCAGACAGAGGTGCTGGTGGTTTATGCGTGGAAAATTGAAAATCCCCGGCCGCATTTTCACTTTGTGTGGCAGTGAATGTGAGTGTGACCTTTGCGTGTGTGCCGTGGGTAGTTAATTTTTAATTAGTTGCCGGTGGCCAGGCCAGCTAGCCTTCCCACCCATTGCCAAGGTTATTGATTGGGCCAAAGGTTGCACTTGAATTTATGGCCCAAAGGCAGGCATTTAATTTCGACTCGACCTCCCATATCCCAGATGCCATTTCCTAAATGGAGGGGCATCCACGTCAGAGCCTTGACAAATGCCGGGCAATCTATTTGTAAGAAAAAACACAGACTCTTTGCCCAGCTTCTCCCGGCAACTCCGTCAATAGTTCGAGTGGTGGAGTCCCCGTGCCCCAAAGTCAAGTGACACATTCTCTCCGCATAAGACACACAAATTGCAGGCGGCAAAAAACAAGACTCATACCGTATTGATTGATTGTTTGTTCACTCTCTGTGTCATGCCACATGCCCCATGCAAAGCCCCCGCCCCTCGCCCACGCCTCAGGCATTCCCACCCGCACACACAAATATTTATACGTACGTACATGGCCGTCTGTGAGTGTATGCAAACTTCAATCGTTGCATTGCAAATATTTATGTTCCTTTCAAACGCTTCCCCTTCCCCCCTTCTCCCCTATCCACCGCCAATGCAGTCATTGTGGGGCGCGAGCAAAAGTCGTCGGAGATGTGTACCAGAATTTAAAACTCCCACGGAAAAGCACGGAAAATCTGAATTTCTCAAAGATGAACAGTGAAAGAAACCAGGAAAGAGCCAGGAAACCCAAGCGAGAGTAATAAGTATTAGTAGGAATAAGAATAAGTGGTATATAAGAAGACCTGTCATACGATTACAAATGAAATAAACATATAACCGAAGTCTGAATACAAAATATCGTTGCTCTAGCTCTTATAGTCTCTGAGCAGTAGGCGCTCATAGGGACGGATAGACGGACAAACAGACATGGCTCAATCGACTCGGCTAATGATGCTGATCAAGAATCTATATCCCTTATGGGGTCGGAAACGCTTCCTTCTGGACCTTACACACATCCATTTTGACCACAAATCTAATATACCCCTGTACTCATTTTGAGTATTGGGGCGCAAGTGGGACCTGATCTTTACGGAAAAAGGAGGGCTACTAGAATTCCTGAACAGGATGGAAGAGCTAGCAGAAACCTATGGGGTAGAACTGGATTACCGGTATTCGCAATGCCGATAATCCCGGCCGTAGCGTCGTCACACCCTTTGTAGTTGATCTCCACCGGACCAATTATGGCTTTAATGAGCCCAGTTGTAAGGCGATTCCTTTTCCATACATGATTTTGTTATTTTCTGTTAATATTTAAGATACATATAAGTAAGTTAGTAGCCAGTTAAAGATTATTTTGATTCCGTTGGCGAATGATAAATAAATTCTGGTGTCTATTGAGCCAAAGAAACATAAGCATCGTATCTGATATGCCATTCCAATTACACAATCAACTAACGAAGAAAAAAGGGATTCAATTATTTATATATTCCCTGAAGAGGCTTTTGTCGCCCACACTCAATCGTTTCAAATACCAAATGCGGCAATTTGTGATCAAATACATTTTTGCAGTTTATTTGTCTGTTTGCAGTTTCGTATAATATATAGATTCATATCTGTTCAGATACATAAAGATTACAACAGTTATTTACAACATACTCATTCAGCGTTTCTCAAACGAAGTTGGAAGGAATCGGAAAGGATATGGAAAACAGTTTATACAGATAAAGATGAGAAGGCAAGTAGGAAAGTAAAGAAAGTAGAGGCTTGTAGAAAGATGTAGATGTAGGTTGTTGGTACAGTTTAACTGGAACTCAAATCAAGCTCAATCGTTGCTAAACGGGCAAGGAAGCCACTTCCAAAGGAGTGGCTTCAATCTCCCGTGTTGTGCGTATGTGTGTGTGTGTAGGATAGTGAAAGATACACATAGTAGGGATAGAAAGATAGATTGGAGAGCTGCTGGAGGGTGACAGTTACATATAGCTAGCTGGCTTCGGTAGTCGGTTAGAGTGAAACGAAGGATGTCAGGCAGAATGTATAGAGATGCTCGTCATTGTCGCTGGCACGAATACACCGGAATACATCGGTCTCCGGCTTAGTAGTGGTCGTAGTGCGCGTGGTACTGGCCATCGTCCTCGTGGGCACCACCTGCACCTCCGCCGTAGTAGCCTCCATGGGCACCGGAACCGCCATGACTGGCGGCAGCCACGGCGTTCAGATGAGCGGCACGGGCATGCTGCACCTCTGCGGGCTCCACGGGCACACCGTTGTGGATCACTGGGATGTGGATGGGACCGTTGTGCGCGTAGCCGCTGGCGTAGGCGTTGTGGCTGTTGTGGCTGGACTCCCAGCGACCGTCATAGCGTCCGTCATCCCAGGAGCTGTGGCCGCTGCTGCCGTGGGCGGAGGCCTGCGAGAGGGCAGCGTAGTGGGCGGCCTTGGCATGCTGGACTTCAGGTGTGTCGACGGGCACTCCGTTGTGGATCACGGGGACGTGGTAGTTGCCGTGCGCGATAGGAGCACCGACATGGCCGGAGCGGGCGGCTGCATGGGCGGCAAAGTGAGCTGCCTTGGCGTGCTGAACCTCAGGAGTCTCGACGGGAGCGCCATGGGCATGGGCCACCTGACCCAGAGCCTTGGCGTGGGCCGCATAGTGCTCAGCCTTGGCTGCCTGGACATCGGGAGTATCGACGGGCACTCCACCGTGGGTGAGTGGGACATGGGCAGGTGCTCCGTAGGACCAGCCTCCTCCGTAGATCGAACGCTTGTACAGATGATGGCCTGCTCCGGCATTGTGGGCAGCGGCTGCGTGAGCAGCTGCATGAGCGGCCTTGGCGTGCTGGACCTCAGGAGTGTCGACGGGAACGCCTCCGTGCGTCAGGACAGGGATGTGGATGCCATGGGCGTAAGAGTGGGCGTGGCCGGCAGCGTAGACAGGAGCGGAGTGGGCAGCGTAGACGGGAGCGGCATGGGGGGCCTGGGGGAGGTTGGTGCCAACGGCATTGAAGCCGTGATGGGGATCCGCGGTGTAGGAGACGGACTGAACATGACCGTGTCCATCCACGTAGGAGTATGAGCCTCGGGTGGTGCCATCGTGGCCGCGCGTCTCGTGCTTCTGTGAGTTGGGATCGGCGTAGCCGTAGGAGTAGGTATGGCTATGGGGATCCAGGTGCTGGTACTGTGTGGAGACAGCTCCGTGCCACGAGGCGGACACCGTCGAGACGAGCAGAGCGGCGGCAATCAACTGTTGAGACGTGAGAGCAGTGAGAAATGTTGTTATGTCATGGCTAATGATTGATCTGCGGCTAATACGTAACAATCGCCACCTGGCGCGACAATAATTACTCTAGATCCCCACTCTCCCACCCCCTGCTCCCCTGCTGCCCTGCCCAAGTGTCAGAGCTCTCTTTTCCAGCTGTTGCTCTGCTAACCTACATAATTGCATGTTTGCGCTTTTCTTGCGCCTGCGCCTGCGCCAATGCTTTTCCACTCTCGCTTTCTTCTCGACTGCCCATCCCAGCCCCACACACGCCCATCTCTTGGCTTTCCCCCCTTTCACCTTCCCCGCTGTCGGGAGCTCTCAAGCGCAACCGTTTGATTTGATTCCGAGATACTGTTTCAGCCAATTCGTAGATGTTACCTCATACGGCAGGCGGCAGGCGGCATGCGGCATGCGGGTCGATTATGTATTATGTGTCAGCAGGTGAGCGGCACACTCGATTTGCTTCGGTTTGGAGGGGTGGGGCTGGGGATGGCTAAACTGTCCGACATGCAACATGTCAACGGCTTATCAGCGGGATTTTGCAGCATTTGATGGCATCTGACGGATTTCTGTGTGTCTGTCTGACATGCACGGGATTGCCTGGCATGGCCGGGGTAATTGACTCTCGGATGGGTTGAAGGATTAATACCGAATGGGAGCTCAGGTGGCATTTGATTGAATGTAGAGTCCAGAGCTTAGACCAATGATTGAAAGGGAATTAACAGAAATGAAACACTATTTACCACAGCGAAGGCTTCAGATGCTTTGAATGGATTTGAATGGTATTTAAACATTTTTCACTTCGTTTCGGTTTTAAACGTAGAAAGACCCACCCTTCTAGACTTCTAAAGTGTACTTTAGAGACCACAGACTCTGTCTGTTTGAACCAGAGGAACACACATCCTATTCAGTGCTACTCTTTGCAACATCCTTGGCACGAATTTATCCTTTTCATGGCTTGGCGTTTGGGTACTTACAAATGGCTTCATTTTCGAGGGTTTCACAGAGAGCTAATCACAAAGTTGAGCTTCGAAAGGAAGGAGCGTTGGGTGAGAGGGATACACTTGGGATACACACGACACGACACAAAAAGCACTTGGTCGCTGGACGCTGGTTGAACCTCCTAGAACCACGACTAGGACTGTTAACGAACTGTGCTGACTGCTGGCTGGCGGCTCTAATATATACCGCCAGAGATTGCAGCCGAAACCAAGACTGTGGCCGAGACAGAGCCGGCGAATGCGAATGCAACAACAGCAACACCAAAGACAGCAAAGACAACAAAGACAATGAGAGCCGAGCAGAACAATGCGGCAAAAGAGTAATCGAATTACAACGTTAATCGAGGCTCGAAGCGGGTTTGCAGCCAAAGCCGAAGTCTGGTCCAAAGCCGAAGCCCCAGCCGCTGCCGCGCAGCCGCAGAATGTGTATCAATCGAGGCGCAGAAAGGCGGCAACATGTTGCCACCATTGTGCATGGGCAACATTTTCAGAGAGAGACTCGATCGGCGGCGTGGCTGCGTTTCCTCGGTGGCTGCGTTTGTCGCCTGCCGTGACCTTGCTTTCGACCAAATTGGCTTCCGATTTTCATGGGTGTGCGTGTGCTTGGTTACCAATTTTAATTACCGGCTTCGGCCTGGCTCAAACATTTCATTTTTGAGCTGTGGCTGAGCTTCCGCGCACCGAGCAATTAGCAATCATTATTTGGGCACGGGATTAGGCTGGCAGCGCTCGATCTTATCAGGGCATTGCCTTTCCAAAAAAAAAATACATAAAAACTGCCCAGCAGAGCAGATACTCGTAGTTTCGCCCCGCCCAAGACCTGCCCGGGCGCTCAAATTAAAAAATTCTTATGACCAGCTTACAACATGCCAACGGGGGCCATAACGAAATGTGAGCTGCAAAAGTGAGCAGAAAATATCGAAAAAATATCCGAAAATGGCCAGACAATTTCTGGGCGTTTGCCTCTTTAATCATTGAACTGCATCGGAAAACGAAAACGAAACGAAACGAAAAGTTTGCAAATTAAAAATAAAAAAAATAAAACAAGAGCACGGCCCAAGAGAAGCCAGCGGAAAACAAAAGACGGGGAAAATGGTATTGGCCAGTGCTGCTGCAGACGCTGTCTATGGTCTGCTGTTGTTGCTGTTGCTGTTGCCACATGTTGCAGCATTTCTTTGCAGTTCTCCAATCTTGATGGTGCACTCACACAGAGACAATCATTTATGGTTTTGCCTGCCCCACAGACACACCACAGCGACCCGTAATGAGTGCACACTCCGACTGGGTTCGATTATTTGCATTCGATAAGCGCCCGCCATCATCGGTGGGTGCACTAGTGTTTGTTGCATGTGGCACTGTGGCACACTTCACCACACAGTGCTCGCATTCATATCGGCAACTTAATTTGTTTTGCTTCGCCTGCCGCCAATTTAATTTGAATAAACCAAATGCAAACTGCTCTTTTGAACTCTACTCTCCCCCTCGGCTTGGGGTCTATACGAGAGCTCGTATGTGTGTGTGTAGGGGCGGGCGATCATTTTGGGGCGTGTTTGACATTTTTACGGCATGCGCAACATAATAAATTATATTCCCGGTGTCGTTTTATTAGTTTTTCTCATACATCTCACCGCAGAACCGTCGACAGCAGTGGGCTGGCTAACGCTTACGCTTACTGGCTCTCAAGTGCAATCCACACATTTGTGGATATGCCGATACGTATGGCCCACCTTTCCAGCTCCATTTGCGAGCCGTAATTACGGTTTTCCATGTCTGCGCTACACTCTTCGGTGCGAGTCGTATGAACACCGATCCGATCCGAATCTATGCGAAAATTAACTAATTACTTTGTAATAACATGTATTATGCCATCACAATCAATTTATCTAAATGCATTTCAAATTGAACTGTTCGAATAGGTTTGGGATGTACTTGTTTTTAGCAGGAATTACATTTCCACTGAAACACTCTATATTTAATGCTTTTATTTTTTATTGCTATTCCTAGAAAACATCCTTCCTATTTATTGATATCACGCATACGCAACGTTGACTTAAACAACAATCGGAAATTCCTAGAAAGTGCTCAGCACTTTACCCTATTCATTGCTTTTATAGCACGTTCTAGTGCCAAACTGTCTTTCAGCAGAAAAAAACAAACAATATTTATCTGTCCGTTTTGGAGCCTTCCCAGAATGCTGTCTGAAAGTCTGTCTGTATCCCCGAATCGTAAGGGAACGAACGGTACAGCCATTGTCTCCGGAGTGGGCGTAGGCTGGCCAGAATTTGTCGGCCTTTGTTGGTTTGGCATAACCAAGTGGTTACTTGTTGATTTTGATCGGTTCTCCATACGAGTACGAGCGGCATATGCAAATTGAGAGAGCAGAATGCCGAACCGAGTAAATATATTCGATAAATGCCTGGTCGGTTTCAGTACTATTTGCTTAATTACTGGTATTTGCAATCTCGGGCTCGGGCTGGAACACATTTGCATCTGCTTCGAATCAACAGCTGTAGGCAGGTGTCAAGTGCGGAATAGTTTTTCTTTTCCTTCCGCTTGCACATTGATACACACTACACACTACACGGGTAAATCATGTTCAATTAATTGCACTCGCTGTTAAACAACATAATTAATATGACACTGCCAGCAGAGTGGCTGGGTGGCAGGGCGGCAGGGTGGCTTCCATTAGGCAAATGAAGCGTGGTCTGTTGCTCTTAGCGACTCCAATTAAATGTAATTAGTATTAAAATTCTGCAGCTAGACAATAAAATTCTGCACCACATGACGCAACCGGCCAGCCAGCCACTCGCTGCTTGGCCAATCACAGTTGCAATCGGCATTAGCATGGCAACACCATACCATCGTCAGCTGCCTTCTAACCTGGCCACGCATCACCGAACCAACACCGCACAGTGGGTGGGCACAGAGCAACACTTCAAACACTTATCCACTTGCATTCTTAGTTTATTGGCCAACTAGACAGTGGTAATAGAATGGAAATAGAATGACATTGAAAGCTAGATTCTTTGCCTGAATCTGAAGGTAACATAAAAAACACTATCCATGAATATGGGATATAAAGATACATTTTACAAAGGGTGTAAATAGATGTGTCTAATGGTGGGCTTCGGGCCAACTGGCCTCTGGCTTTCATTCTTCTCAATCTAAGGTGCAAATTGTATCCACCGTTTGGGCCCTTCATCCCATTGTACTGCAATGGCATTGAAATTCTTCAGACAATTGGCCCGACTGCCTGCTACGTACGACTGCTGGCCATTCGGGCGGCGTGCCCTGCTTTGCCCAGCGGTGCAGTGAAGCGTTGACAGACTTTTGGCCAAGCGGATGCAATCAGCAGCGCGCTAGAGGGTGCAACTTCCATACCCCTGTTCCGCCCTTCCAAGGCCCAATAGAAGGCATTCGCAATCGCAATCGCAATTGAATTATTATTCTTCTTTTTTTGCGAGGCTTTTTGTTCTTACACAAACTGTTGCTTCGAATATTTGTGGTAAATTAAAAAATGCTAATTGCCCGGCCAGTTGTTGGCCATTAGACAAATGAGTTTATGGTGCGAGATGCAAGTATTTCATGGATACTGGGTGGGCAAAGGTGGCAAAATACTCCAAAGAAATATCCGCCAGCTGGAGTGGTAGAACACCCTGTACTAAGGCGCTATCCAAGAATTAATTCCGATCTGCTAAGAGCACAGAGCTCAAATAAATCATTAAAATTTATGAATTTAATTGCCTTCAATTATTGCCACAGATAAAATGTAAAGCAAGCTGCAGCAAGCAAACCAACTCGGATTGGATCGAATCTGATTGAATCACTAACCATAATCAAGCAGTTATAGGTACACGATCGCGGGGGGCAGAGTCTATGGTCTGTTCGATTGGGCTTCGGCTGGAGCAGGAGCTCCTGCGCTCTCGCTCTGATCGCGTTGAGTGGCCAACAATTGAATTCAATCAACAGGGGCCACCCTAACGTGGAATTACGAAAATTATGGCCAAGACGCGAGGGGCCAACAGCTTGCCACCGTATCATTAGGGTGTAGCTGGCGAATGAACTGGGCCAAGGGGGCCACCGGTGGCCACCGGGGGCGGTGGCTTGTCTCCCTGTATCTGCGACTGCATTTGTCACATAGCCATGACGAACTAATTGGCAGAATGCTGGTACCGTAGGGTTATGTTATCCCATAGCCAGGGCCAGAGCTCGAGCAGATCTGCGGGCGTTGCCAGCAGAAAATTAAATTGCAAATTTCTGAGATCGCTGTGCAAATGGCAAATGATTGATTGGAAACGGGCTGGCCGAGTCCGCATACGAATACGAATACGAATACGAATCGATGGCAATCAGCCAGGCCTGGGATGCCGCTCCCCAGCGACCATTCCGAGATGGTCGGCGTGGGAGGGTTCGTTCTCAGCCAAATCTATATCACCATCGGGCTTGGATTATAATGGCCCAGTTGGAAAACTGGTCAAAATCCGTTGCGGGCATCCAACTTTGGGAAATTCGGCACGCCATAAACGAGTTTTGGTTCACTTGCAACATCTGGGCCAGCAGCAAGCAAGTTGCTGGTTCACCAGCTGCCACAGGGGCTGCCAGGCTGCCGCTACTGTCCAACAGCCGCTCCCACGCATCACACACCCCACCCCCCCACAGTTAACACACACGTGTCCTGCCACAGAATGTCACACAATCACGAATGCCCCAGCCAGAAATAGGAAGCGGACACGGGCAAAGTTCGGGGGCTCCACCTCCGGCCCAACCAATTTGATATTTTCATTCGCTAACAACGCAAATCCGCCGCACGACAGTCATCGCCCTGCCACATGCCCCAAAGCTGACACACCGCTGCCGCATTCCGCAGCGTTCCTGGCACCCTCTCCACACCCCCCCTATGCCCATGCCCATGGCCATAAAGTGCGCACAAGCGAATGGAGGCGCGTCCGCTATTCTGCCTCGCAAAAAAAAGGCGAAACATGAAAATCTAAAGCTAACCCACATGCATAAAAAAGGCCTTAAAACTCCAAAAACTGACCACCCAACACAGCCATCGAGTACCAGTACGACTTCACGTAGACGACTGCCGGGCCTGGCCTGGCCTGGTCTGGTGGCGCTACGTGCGGTGTCAGCCGAGAGCAAATAAA